AGAAAATTATATGGTAAAAGATGCATGTCAAACAAAAATCGGGTTCGCACCAAAATTTATATAAACCCTTGCGGTGATCCAAACGCTGTTTTATTCTAGCACCCTTCAAGACCACTCGGTCTTCGTATATGACCAATGGACAATTATGGATAAATCTGAAGAATATTTGACACGGAAATGTAGCTCCAAGGAACCCAATTAAGATATAGCGAAACCAAACATGTTCCTCCAGGATTTGCTGAATATGTAGTAGATACCTCTGGACACCCTGTTAGGAGGTAAGTTACCAAATGGCTCAGCCAAGAAAAATAAAATCGTTGCCATGAAGCATGTAACGTGGAAATGTAGATAAATATTATTTACAGTTAGGTTATTAATCGACTGAAACACGGTACGCGGAAGGTTGTTCAAGCTTTTCGGCTTGAAGTTTCACCTTGATAGCAAGGCCTGAGGCTAACAAAATACAACCAGGTCACTCCTTTTCTACATATATGGGTGGTAATAAATGTTGAAAATTAACATTTTCCCTTAACCGATCCCAATGCCTCACAACATCTGGATCTAAATTTTTTTTGGCATTGTGTGTATCCATATGGGTGCTTCCGGTTTTGTCTCATAGTCGTGGAGATAATTTTTTATAAAAAATGTATTTCTGTTCCCAGTGAATATTACGATTCCAATACACCAGTTGTCTTCCAAGGTATGCCACGTTACCACTCCGTGGCCATCACCTGGACGAATATCTAAATGTCAGGTAACGAAAGGCAATAATTATAATGCCAAAAATAAATAACACCATGCTATAAAACTAATTGTGTCCACCTAATAAACAAGCCAGGTAAGTATTTTTTAATTGCTAGTCGAAGATTGTAACAACAAATACGTTTCAGCAAGTCTATAAATGCAGATATATATGCTCCATTAGCAGTGTGCAGTCCTGATATGGTAATGGTGCATCGAGTGCGCTTTTGAAACTGCAATTTTCAGAAGTCCAGATTCATGCCCGGATTAGTGATGTAAGATTCATATGATCGATATGGTAAATAACATAAACTTGAAGTTGATAAAGTTGAGACTTCCGTATCCGACTTTTCATTCTCACTTCAAAATAATGCTGACGATATAAACAGCGTCTCTGAGGAAGGCCGCTGAAGAGTAATTGAACTATTGTAAATGGACAACAACGAATTGGATCGATCTCCTTTGAGCTGCAAGGAAACGGTCAGGAATTTTCTAAAGCAAATCGCAAGCATCAGAAGTAGTTTGCGCCTATGCCCAACTCTCCAGTGGCGTCAAACGATCAAGTAATTCTGCCGGTACTTTCGGTGACGGATACCTCATTATGGAAGATTCAGGCCCTGTATTTCAGGGACGCGTAAGTCATGCGCTGGCAGAAATGGAACGTTTCCTTAGAGCGGTGTGGAGGCCAACGATGGGCCTGGTTTCTGCTGTCTTGGTTGGTACAAGATACTCTCAGATATTTTCTTTTCCCTGTGTGCGTTAAACAATGATTTATATTATCCTAATGACGAATCAGTGAATGAGTCCAACAAACATTTATCGCTTACGGTATTAAACGAGATAAGTAATTAATATAGACGTTTTATTTTAGAATTGAAACTATCTGTTTATTGCGCGAGGTCGCTGTTAGCAGGGTGAATCATTTGGTGCAGTATTATGTTGGTACATTTTTCACTCTCCAATGTCTCTTATATTGCAATGCTAGGGGGCTCTCATATGAATTTAGGATTCATCTGAAAATCATCTAAAAAGCCTTAACAGAACACATTTTTGAGGAATTACATGTTTTTTTGCTGATTGCTTTTTTGCTTCGACTTTTTCAAATCAGATTAGTTAAGCATTGCCGACCATGTGGTTTTACCGTTTCACATTGGGTAGCTTCGAAGTAGGCGGACACAGCCTAACCTAGGCCGAACCGGGAGACGCATGGTTTTCCTGAATACTCTGAATGAAATTGTAGACTTATGCTTGACTTGAGTATTGTTTTTCTATTACTACTCGCAACGCCCGTCGCTTTTCAGTGTGGTTGCGCATGTACGTATGTTGTTCCCAGTGGGGTTGCTGCTGCCTTACACGAGCTGGGGATATTCTTTGGTGCACTGAAGGCAGTTGAACGGGACGTGCACGCGGACGTTACCTACTACACGAAATTCGTTGTCATTTATTTTCTCATGTCAACCTTTGTTCCCAACGTATTTAGGGTAAGTATGTTGTTTGTTGTATCAGTAGGTGAAACTTAACTTCGCAGGGATAGAATCCGAGACCTATATAACATTACTATGTTACACGAATGCAGGGTAACTCAATATTCACATGTAGCATGTATTAAGAACTATATAGGCTCCGCCAATCGACGACAGGCTTAGTGGACAGCCAGTCTAACAGGTCTTTATTTATACCTGTACAAACGAGACAAGCTAAATTAAGGCATATTATATCAATAGACAGAAGAAAAAGAACAATCCAAAACTGTAGTTAATGCTATACAAAACTCAGTCTAAAAATATGATGAACATATGTTCATCATACCTTTAACAGAACATCCATTCCTAAGATATTGATACATTATATAGTAAATATCAGTCAAGCAAAATGATTGTGAGGGCTGTTTTAACCTTAACTTCCGATTTTTATAGGTGTTATTTATTACAGTTATCCTCTTCGCTAACGAACCCCTGATCACAGATATCTATGCTACGCTGTTTGCGGGTCGGTTTTTTCCATCAGAGACAGTTCCTCAGGCAGGAGGACGAACCTCAGATGAAGAGACTCCACTTGTCCGTCGAGGGAAATTACCCAAGTTTAACACGAAGTTCGCCGCATTTAAAGAGCCATGCTGTCATGCAAAATAGTCTAGGAGTGTTGGGTGGTTAACGTTGTTTCATAATAGGTTCTTCCTGTTTTTTTCTCGATAATAGATTAATTTGCAGATACGTTGAAAACTTAACGTGCAGTATGTACTCAATGGCGACTATCTCCAAGCACTGTTCGTCATTCCAATACATCGGAACGTTAAACCTTCTATCGGAATGGCGAAGCATATCTGCTTGAATGTGTTTTCATAGTTCCTGTGAGCGTGAAGCCGTCCATAGTTAAAGTTTTTGATGGCAAACGATTGCTATGGAATTTTGTTCCCGTGCCGTTTCATAGTTGTGCTGGATGAATCACCAAATAAACAAGTCTTCAGTTCCAGGATGCACAGACATGATAGCCAGCAATCGTTGAAAAAACATGACACATCCAGTCTGTGCTCGATGAAACAGACTTAAAGAACATGACACATCCAGTCTGTGCTCGATGAAACAGACTAAAAAACTCTAAAATAGTGTTATGTGTGTAGTGTGCAGTAATGTGTGCAAATGTGCAGTACTAGGATGAGAAATTTTCAAACGGTTTTTGCCTTATGAAGGCGCAATTATTCTACTTTATAATGCTGTCCTACACACGATAAAGACGTCGCCAAGCGCTGCGATCTGTAGAGTTAGAATATCGTACTGCGTATGATCGCAAGCATCAGTTTACTGAAGTCGGATATCGTCAAGTTCAATATTCACGTTCTCTGCTTGTACTGTGTATAGCCGGCGTGTACTACCACCATAAAAACATGACCGTTCTCGACACGGAACAACTCAGTAATGGTGTGTAAGTGAGCTTGGTTTGTATTTTCTTGGTGATTTTTCCTATTTCCATACAAATATAAGAACAGAAAGTAAACATTGATTAGGTTCGTCAGGACAACTGCAGAAATGATTCGTGTCTTTTAACATGCAGTGGCTAATGTTGCTAGGAATATACGGAGAAGCCTTCCGCTGCCATCGTGTAAATCATCAGTAATTAGAATCGAAAAAACTGTTACTAGGAGGGAGAATTATTTACGAACTCCACAAAGATAGGTTCATCTTGTTATGTTTTTCAGAGTGGATTAAGAGGACGTGGACTCGCTATATCGAACATTGCGTTTGGCCGTGGACTCACGGGCTGGGTTCAAGGCCTGAGGACCTACTAAAAAATTTCGGTCGAATGAAACGAGCCGGTCTTCATTGGACTTCAGACCAAGTCAAAAATTAGACTGCTGATAACAGTATGTATTTCGCAACGACTCTCACATTGAAATCTCTAGAAGAAACACCCATATGCGTTCAGACGTGCTGGCGATAGTAAATACAGTAATTATACTACATAGAAGTTTCAACATGTTCGCGAATTTTTTCGTAGGGTATCCGTGTAACGCCGTTCTCACAAGTCAAAAATGACTTATTTTTAATAAGTATTTTTTATTTTAATTTTAATGATTTTTTTTATTTTTTTTAATTTTATTTTTTTTAACTTTAATTTTTTTTAATTTTTTTATTTTAATTTTATTTTTTTATTTTTTATTTTTTTTTTATTTATTTTTTTATTTTTTTTTTTTTTTTATTTTTTTTTATTTTTTTATTTTTTATTTTTTTTTATTTATTTATTTTTTAATTTTAATTTTAAGCATTTGATAACACATCATATAACACGTGTTTGCCAATAGGCCACAAGGAACTCATGACGATTTTGAAAAACGCTGGAATGGATGATATCATCACCTCTCACGTAGCAGCCCGCCTTAACGGCTATCTCGGAGGACATGGATCGCTGGCGCAATTCCAATCAGAGGACCTTGGCCTTCCGGATGAGGCTAAGGCGTACGTTGTGAAGGTTCTTCAGAAGAGCGTTACAGTTTCCTGTCATTAGCAGCATTATGCCTGTCATAAGAGTATATATACATAATAGTTGTTAATAAATAACTAGAGTACACGAAGTAACAGGTGCTTGCATAAAGCCCACTGCCAGAACGCATCATATGATCATCCCACGATTCAAGATAGCTATAAAGCAGGAGCTAATAGCAGCACATCATACGAGATTAATAAACTATTGCGAACATTTCATCAGAATAGGAACAGTCAGATTAGCGGAAGTAACATTGGTATTTTGAGACGATGGGCTACAATGTGTTTGAGGGATATTAATCGGTGCAATTAGCTTAATAATTTTATTATGACAATACAGTATTTCCGTGGCAAAACACTTGGTAATGTATATACTGTCCGAGCTTACGTAGTTCGGTAAGGCTGTGTAATTCGAATAGCCTTCACGTCGACCCATTTATATGGCCTGCGACTGTTATTTATGTCAGTGAATTGCATACAAAGTTTTCTAGAGCAAATCATAAAGCACAAAAAGGGAAAAGTAAAAATGAAGATTGGTTTAAAGATGTCATTTAGCTCTAAATGTTTGTGTATATCATTGCTGGTACTATGCCAGCATTTATCTAGCGATTACGTAAGTTTATAGAGCGTACTGGAAACGCTAATTATAGTGAGGAAACGCATTACCTCATGACGTTGGTCATGATTACATAATGATATAATAGTTTCTTCACCACGACGGTTACGTGCTATAAAACATTACTGGAATTATTCTCTATACATTGAGGTTGACGGGGAATGAATACTACCTAGGATAGGATAAGATACGGCAGAATTACTTGATCGTTTGACGCCACTGGAGAGTTGGGCATAGGCGCAAACTACTTCTGATGCTTGCGATTTGCTTTAGAAAATTCCTGACCGTTTCCTTGCAGCTCAAAGGAGATCGATCCAATTCGTTGTTGTCCATTTACAATAGTTCAATTACTCTTCAGCGGCCTTCCTCAGAGACGCTGTTTATATCGTCAGCATTATTTTGAAGTGAGAATGAAAAGTCGGATACGGAAGTCTCAACTTTATCAACTTCAAGTTTATGTTATTTACCATATCGATCATATGAATCTTACATCACTAATCCGGGCATGAATCTGGACTTCTGAAAATTGCAGTTTCAAAAGCGCACTCGATGCACCATTACCATATCAGGACTGCACACTGCTAATGGAGCATATATATCTGCATTTATAGACTTGCTGAAACGTATTTGTTGTTACAATCTTCGACTAGCAATTAAAAAATACTTACCTGGCTTGTTTATTAGGTGGACACAATTAGTTTTATAGCATGGTGTTATTTATTTTTGGCATTATAATTATTGCCTTTCGTTACCTGACATTTAGATATTCGTCCAGGTGATGGCCACGGAGTGGTAACGTGGCATACCTTGGAAGACAACTGGTGTATTGGAATCGTAATATTCACTGGGAACAGAAATACATTTTTTATAAAAAATTATCTCCACGACTATGAGACAAAACCGGAAGCACCCATATGGATACACACAATGCCAAAAAAAATTTAGATCCAGATGTTGTGAGGCATTGGGATCGGTTAAGGGAAAATGTTAATTTTCAACATTTATTACCACCCATATATGTAGAAAAGGAGTGACCTGGTTGTATTTTGTTAGCCTCAGGCCTTGCTATCAAGGTGAAACTTCAAGCCGAAAAGCTTGAACAACCTTCCGCGTACCGTGTTTCAGTCGATTAATAACCTAACTGTAAATAATATTTATCTACATTTCCACGTTACATGCTTCATGGCAACGATTTTATTTTTCTTGGCTGAGCCATTTGGTAACTTACCTCCTAACAGGGTGTCCAGAGGTATCTACTACATATTCAGCAAATCCTGGAGGAACATGTTTGGTTTCGCTATATCTTAATTGGGTTCCTTGGAGCTACATTTCCGTGTCAAATATTCTTCAGATTTATCCATAATTGTCCATTGGTCATATACGAAGACCGAGTGGTCTTGAAGGGTGCTAGAATAAAACAGCGTTTGGATCACCGCAAGGGTTTATATAAATTTTGGTGCGAACCCGATTTTTGTTTGACATGCATCTTCTACCATATAATTTTCTTGTTAGGCTAAGCCAAACCCCAAAAAAAGTTTTTGTTGGTTGCGATCAAATTTTTTGTGCCAACCTATATGTTTGGCTCATAGAACCAAAAATTAATTAAGTGTCCATCTCTCGGTGATGTTTTTATAACGATTCTAAATAAATCTAGCTTTTTTTCGAAGATTGTCGAAAACGGTTTATCAAACGAATCTATGACCATCCAACTACCTATCCATGTCCTTCAGCATTTCTAGTGCACGCACCTTTGAATTCTATTTATATCAAATTTGTTTTGTGGATATTAGTTAGAATTCATATTACACGACAAGAGAGCCATCTCTAATATTCCCTGTTGCAGCATAACCGTTCACGTAATTATATACGTATACAAAGGATGAAGATTTCATTCCTATCCTATCCTATCCTATCCTTATCC